CATATTAATGATGAATTAAGTGGATTAGGTACTTTAATTAAATCTTGGACTATTCTGATGTTGAAAATTTTCAAGGATGCCATGAGACAGCTTCCAAAAATCATTTACTACTTTTCTGCTTGCTTTATAAAAAGAAGAATGCATCGAGCCTTTTGTGAATCTCATCTTCTGCCTCATAGCAGCTTTACAACTATGTCTTCTTCCACCCTTCACTTCTGCCTTGCAGCTACAGCTCTTTTCTTTACGGCTTTTCTCCGTGGACCTTCCCTGTCTCACGCTCAATTATCTCCTACGTTTTACGACGTGACATGTCCAAACGTAACGAACATCATTCGAGATATCATTTCTAAAGAATTACAGACTGATCCTCGTATTACCGCTAGCTTAAACAGGCTCCATTTCCATGATTGCTTTGTTAATGTAAGATTTGGTACCCTTTAATATTTATTTTCTAGTTAATTTTACTATCTTGATATCTCTATATCCTAATATTTATATATATAGAGAGAGAGAAAGAATTGAAAGTGATATATTATATGTTATTTATTTTTGTGGTGATAAAAATATTTTCAAAGATTTTAAACGTATATATAATAGAATCCTACCCAATTACTTCACAAGTAATTATTAATACTTCTAAGTAGAAACTAATTAATCAAGTTTGTCGACGATTTGTAGGGTTGCGATGCATCGATTTTGCTAGATAATAGTCCGACAATAGAAAGTGAGAAAGAGGCGCTGGCAAACAATAACTCGCTAAGAGGTTTTGATGTTGTCGACAGGATGAAGAGTAGATTGGAGAGTGCATGTCCTGGAATTGTTTCTTGTGCTGATATACTCACCATAGCATCTCAACTATCTATCAATTTGGTATAATTTATATTTCATCTGCTAATTATTTATGTTTTATGATTATATATGTAGTAGTCCTAATAGATTTACTAAAGAAATCGGTTTGAATTCTTTTCTCGATTATAACTTTTGATAAATTATTATTTTTTAAGTCAGGAGGTCCTTCATGGACAAATCTATTGGGAAGGAGAGATAGTTTGACAGCCAGTCGAGCTCTTGCTAATTTAACCATTCCTTCACCATTTGATACTCTTGATCAACTCAAACAAAGGTTTATAAATGTCAGCCTCAATGGTGATACCGACTTGGTTGCACTCTCTGGTATCTGAATCTATTTTTAACTGATCGTTTATCTATTTAGAGTTTGATTGGGATCTTTACCATTTAAATTTTAAGCATTTTATCGCTTCATACAAATCATCTGTCATTTTCTCAGGTGCTCACACATTTGGAAGAGCTCGATGCTTAGGATTCTCTCCTCGATTATTCAATTTCAATAACACCAGTGCTCCGGATCCAACTCTCAACACTACCTTTTTACCAGTACTTCAACAGATATGTCCTCAAGGTGGGAACCAAAGTGTCATCACTGATCTTGATCTAACTACACCTAATACTTTCGACAACGCCTATTTCTCCAACCTTCAGATTGGAAAGGGTTTGCTTCAAAGTGATCAAGAATTGCTCTCAACTCCTGGCGCCGATACTGCTAATCTCGTCAATCAATTTAGCAGTAATACTACTGCTTTCTTCGAAGCTTTCGTATTATCTATGATAAGAATGGGAAATCTTAGTGTGTTAACGGGAACTGCAGGAGAAATTAGATTGAACTGTAGAGTAATTAATGGAGTCTCTACTTTATCCGATGATAATTTGGTAAGTTCAATATGAACGAATAAAGTACTAAAAAAAAATGAAATAAAAATCATATATGCATTGAGTGTTTTGTGTGATGTAAATAAATATGCTTGCAATATAAACAATAATATATTTATGGTTAGATCCAAAAAAACTTGTCACCTGCTCCACCGACATTGTTGTACTGTAAAATAATATATTATAATTAAATATGTCAATTCTAAACCTATATATATATATATATATCATATATAATATACATAATATATCATTTTAAATTAATTAAATTAAATTTACAGGGAATATCTAAAAAAATATTCATTTCTAAATTATTACGTAAAGATTCATGCATAAAATAATGAATCGAAGGCGACTGGCTAACAAGACATGGAAATGGACATGAAGATGAAACCAGAAATTCTTGATGGTGATCATTAATTTATTAGTGAAACCAGAAATTCTTGATGGTGATCATTAATTTATTACTTCATTATTCTATAAGTAAATTACCAGCATACTTACTTATATATATTTTACTAATAAATTATACGAGTTTTTTTTTAATTTTTTATATTAATATGAATAAGTTAAAAATTAAAGTAAAATAAGGTGTTATCTACTGTGTAATGTCTCGAAACTTAAAAGAAAATAAATTATAAATTGAATGCAGAAGCGAAATAATAAAATTAGAATTTGCATTCGTTACATAATAATTTAAAATATTTAATAGAGTTACGAAAATTGCTCTTATAAAAAAATAAGCGAAAAATTAAAGAAATAAATGAAAAGTAAACAATTAAATATTTTAGAACGACCTTCACTAATTTTTTAAGGGAGTAATGAGAAAACTTAATTATTTACTTTTCATTTATTTCTTTAATTTTTGGTTTGTTCTTTTAGAATTGTCATTCTCATAATCTTATTGGGTATTCTAAATTATTATATAATAAATGTAAATGATAATTTTATTATTTTACTATCGTATTTAATTTATAATTTATTTTTTTTTAGATTCTGAACGAATACATATTGTGGTCTTATATATGTGTGTGTGTGAATGCGTGTGTAGTTTTTCATGGCAACTATATAGGTATGAAATGGTTTAACAATTACTCATTATAAATAATACCCAAGTTTTTCAAAAGATGTGTGTGGATATATTATATAAAAGTCTAAAAAGTTAATAATTCTATATAAAGTGACATTAAAAGTCAAATTTATACACACACACACATATATATATATATATATATATGTATATAAAATTAACCTTTCTACTTTACCCAAAAAGAAATACAAACATGGCTTATAGATGATACATTCACTCAATAATTTCAATCAATTAAGATTGTTCAAAGATCCTCTAAACAACCAAATCAATGAAGATAAAGAATTTAACCTTATAAATCTCTTGTCATTTTTCTTCAAACATGGTACATTTAAAAAAAAAATTATCAAATTAATTTTCAAAATTTATAACCCCTTATAATTTAATTTATGATACTTTTCGTTATAATTTGATATTTGATATTTTCGTTTATTTTAAAAGTTTTCAAAAATTCGTAACTCGTTAATATTTAGTTTCTGATATTTTTCGTTATAATTTGATATCAGATCTTTCCGTTTACTTTAAAATGTCTAACTTGTTTTTATTTTTTATCGAAAAGGATAAAATTATTAAATTATATTTAAATATTTTAAAAAATAATTTAAAATAATGATTTAATTAATTATTTGGTTTAACAAATTAGTAATAATTAATTTTTTCAATTTATTAATTTAATTAATGAGTAAAAGTCTTTTAAACTATTCTTTTATCCATGACTTTCTTTTGTTGTATCTTTCAAGATCATATATTAATCAACAAGAATTTCTTTGATGTTGATCTACCATCATCTTTTAGTGGTGCATGTTTTTAGTTA